CCCGTAGTTAGCTGGTTTTTATACAAAGCAAACTTCAGAAGGGAAAAATGCCAGGCCCCGTATTAATATATGACATAGCTACACAGAAACACACAAATCGCAGTACAAACAAACAAACAAAAAAAAAAAAAGGTAAAATTCTCAAAGGATTTAGAGCCTGTCTGCTTAATGAATGATTTAGTTTAATGGGCAACCAAAACTAAACACACACACACAGCCTCACAAAGCCTGAGTATTTGGACCAGATTCAGCTACTCAGAGTCCTCATTCAGCACTCAATGGATAAAGTCACAGAGCACTTCTGTACCTTATAAGTGTCACTCTAGATTCAACAACAAAGCAAACACCTTTACCTTTACTGATCTATGACTATAATCTTTTGCAAATGCATCAGCTGCTTTTTTTTCCCCCGCAAGTCCTGCCTTTCCAGTAGGACGTGCCTTATTTGAATCAACAGGCCATAGTGCCTTTCCTGTTACAGGATGCAGGAGATCATTACAAAGGCAGAAGAATTTCATGAAGATGCATGACAATGTGCTTCTCTCATTATAATTTCATCCATTCAGATGACAGGTTTGAGAAGTAGCTGGAGATGTCAGGGACAATCACAGCATCACAGCATCTCTGCTGAGCATGTAGCAGCTAGTAATACTACACAGCACTTAGAAAACAAGAGAAGTGAGCAGAAGGGAGTTTCAGCTGATCAACTGGAATCAGCAAGTTTAAATGTGACTAGAACATTGATCTGCATCTGTGATAAATGCTGTGTGATCTTCGCTAACAAGTCAGTATTGATTCCCAGGTTGAGGCTGTTGAGAAGAAACAGTACTGTGCCCAACAATGACTTGCACCACCACCATCTCATTATCTCTCAATCACTGATCCCACCCACCCCTGATCTGCTTACGAGATCTGCAGAGCTCACAGCACAGGAGGCCATGGCTGGTGCACATTTTTAGTAGGGCAGTGAAAAGCTAGTGCTGAGGGAGCTTCACTCACTGCAGTAACACTAACAACTTGTAGTAGATGTCAGTCTGTTTCAGTAAGGAAGGCAGAAAGCGCTCAAAAAGACAATGCTATGACATAACAAACCCAGAACAACACCTCAATCACATGCCAGAATAATTTCCTTGTTTCCATTCAGGTGCTGAGAGCTGTTTGTTTTTGGATGCATGAGGAATCACTGCTGCCAGCACACTGCCCACCAAACAGGGGAAGGGGGGTTGTAGATTCTCACACACAATAGAGTGACTCTCCCTTAAATAGGTATGCATGAAGCTATTCCTAGTGAGGGGTATGTAAGAAGCTAATGATGGTTATTAATAGCCCTTAAAGCTATCAGTTCATCTGAGTTAAATGCAAGAGTAGTAATCCCTTTATGACCTTCCGTATTTTACTGGGGAAACTGACAAAGTTTCATGAAATACTGCTGCTAACCTCAGATTTCAACTATTTTAAATGTTGAAAATGGCATTAACCTGAATCTACTAGGCCCTGCTATGTAGATATATCACTGAGGACATAGACCAGCAATGTCAGGCAAAAGCCTTTCCTCTTAACAGTTGTTCAAATTCAATAGGATTTTTGCCACAGTCTTCCATAGGTATTGAGTCTACAATTTAATCTGCCATGAAGAATGCCCAGGTATTATACACCACTCAATATGAGAAACTGGATTGTAATGATAAAGGTGGAAATTATTTCTTGCTGTTCTTCCCTTAGTCACAAATCAGTAGTCCAGAAAACTTCCTCTTGTAGCAAGAAAAACTAAAATAAAACCAAGTCTTACTAAAATAAAACCAAGCACAAAATACAAGAGATACATCTTGACCAGAAGCATAGAAGAGAAGAAATAGTAAGAGATCTGTACTGTTCAGATTGAGAATCCTTTCTCTGCAGCTCTACTACAAATGTGGATAACTAACCACATCCATAATCACAAAAGATAGCAGGATATAAAGCATGTTCTGAGGAATAAGAAAAACACTGATTTTTCAGAGACTGGTGGAAGTTCTCTCTATAGGCAGCTTGGTCCTTCATTTGCTGCTGCTGTGCTTCTTGAGCCTTTCCTCCAAAGGACTTCTTAGAATGCAGGATATAGATACCAACAAGCCAAGGTCAGGCATGAAATAGCATCAATGAAAGCAAAACAAATTTTCATCTACTACATGACACTCTACATTTATTCACCTTGGCTTTAGCCACAGCTTGTTAATAAACAGTGGAGATATGTACATGAGATGTACATATGTACATTGCTCAATCTATCAAGTGCATGCCTGCAAATGCACTTGGTCTAAGAAGCACGGTACTACAAAGTAAGCCTACATATTTATCTGTGAAACAGTACTGTTGGTTTTGATTGTGGTTTGTGGTTTGATTTTTTTCAGATTGTCGAGTGGTTTTGTACAACTCAAAATATTTTAAGACCACAGTGTACACATTTGTTCGAGGTGCTTACTGTTCCTGCACAGATGAAGTAAGAAATTTACTATGCTTATTACATAATAAAGGTAAGGTAGGAAAATCATGGCACTTGAATCAAACTGTGAAACGTTGCACATTTTTCTCAAAAACTATTTTATGTTTTTGCAGACATAAGAACCGTGTCTAGGCCAACCACAATAAATAACTGTGACCTATGTTGTCTAATGGGAACTTATGCAACTGAAATTGAAAGTATTTACATTTTCAAGAAGTTACACTGACTTTGTACTGAAACACCTTCTTTCTCAGTTTTACCTAGCATCAATCTCTTGTACAGTAGGTATTACCTAGGGCACAACAACTCCCTGCAACTGCGCAGATTTTCCCAACGTGGGATCATGTTCAGCTGCACTGCTGTTCTTTATCCTGGAGTTGCTAGCTCAACACAAAACAGGCATTTTGAAACTAAAATCTGATTTAAAATACGGCAAGGATAATCTAGAAAATATTTTTCTCTTGCATCCCATCTCTCCTTTACTATATTCTTTAAATATGATCAAAATTCAGTCTTGCCCAGTGGGTCTTGACTGCATCCAAGAGTTAATGGGGACTCTGACTATAAAGTATCCTTGAACATCCTAACTATGCAATACAAAGGCTCATGTGGACAGGAGCAGCTATGGTGTCAGTACAGCTGACAGCTCAGCTAGAGCTCCAGCTGTTCCAGTTGTAGTTTTGGCAGAATGCAGGACACCTGGGGATGAATGAATACACTGATGGAGAGAGGAAGGACAAGACTTGGGAAACACAAAGTATTTCCAAGTTAGCCCAATCTATTGCTTGTATGGTCCCACTTCCTCTTCAACACTGTACATATTTAAACAAGTATTCTGTCCTGTTTCTAATGTGCTAAGGCTTGAAAATATAACAGCAATCCAGCAAGAGGAACAATAATCAACATTTCAACTAGTTATCATGAAGGAACACAGGGGATATTTGTTAACACCAAAGTCGCTGTGTTGGAAATGAAAAACATGTTTAGAAGGAGAGTCAGAACTCTCACTTCTGGGCCCATTGCAAGGTTAGAGACACGAGTTGTTCTGACCTGCCTCCAAATCTCCACTGCCCCAGAGCAGGGTAGTAAATTCACAGCACTGCCCTGCATTTGACAAAGGAGCTGTTTCACTCTCAGCATATACAGTTACCATATGGGAGAGCAAAGGGAGGAAACAGCAGAGCCCTCTTACCTGGGGAGCTGCCCAGGCATTAACTCTATGTACCAGGTGGGAAGTGACAGATTCCAGCAGACTCCTGAGACAAGGTGCTTTATGGATTTAGAACATCTCCTCTGTGATAGTAACTTCCTGCCTAGTTCTGGCAAGCAAAGACAGTAGTATGCCAGCCTAATGAACTACTGGTTTAAGAATCTAAGGGGCTAGAATCCATTTTAAGATGTTATTAAGGAAAAGATTCAAAAAAGCCAATAGTAGGATGATTTATTTCTCCTGGTGACTTTGATAGGTGCAATCTGGACAGATATCAGGTGAGATGGGTAGTCAGGGCAAATTATCCCAACACATCAGAAATTACTCTTTTACCCTACTCAAAGTTAGTGTTGGTGAATTCTTTCTAGTCCCTTATATATATAAGCTACACCCTATCTGTAATCAGCATCACTAAGTCTCCTCAGAGTTAACCACTACTGAGCAGTCCACAAAGCAAGCCCTACAGCTGTACTATAATGTTCTTCTAGCTGTACTAGAACGTTCTCCTGACGTCATTTCATATTAAAGCTAAAAAACCACTAAGAGGTTTCTGTGGAACTGACAGATAATAAAAGATCAATGCAGTACAGTGTACACTAAACCATGATGCACATTAAGGTTTTTGGGCTGGACCAGATGCAGCCCAGATAAATAAGGTTGACATGTGAAGACTAGACAGTCTAGTCTTCTTCATGTGCTATTACAAACTGTTAAGTAGTGTATTGATTGGATTTTACTGGACTTATAATCAGTAGATACTGCAGATATTTTTGCATTAGCAGCACAGCAAGACCTCAGATTGATTCCACTCACACACATCCTCCCAAATTAAGAATACAAATCATATTCCACAAAACAGTGCAGTATGTATACATATGGGTGTCTATAGCCTTCCTTGTCTAGTGACTTTGAAATACAACACAGCTACAAGATCAAGGGAAAACAGGATGCATGGCTACATATAGGGGCTCATATTCCATATAATTTTTCTTTAAATACACCTGTAACAGCTTCAACAAAAGTGGTATTAGAGCCACCATCCAAATCCCAATCTGCCTTGAATTCTTATGCAAAATAGATGGCTGTATCTTGCATTTTGCAGAAGTTACTCAAAAGCAATCGCTAGAATTTTGCGGCTAGCTGCTTTAAAATAGCAAACACAAGAATAAGAAGATAATCTGGTAGCATTTGTCCTCCCTAAAAGCAGCAGTAATGCAAGGAGGTGGGGCTTTGGAAAAGAATCAGGTCTGATTTGGTAACTCCTATAATTTATAACTTCCTGTGAAAATTAAGCATATCTGACAGTACCTGTTCCTCTTTTTCTTTGGTCTTGCTCCTGGAGACTCTGGAAGAGGTAACATCCTGAGCTGGAATGACAGAGATTTGATGCAGTGGCATGTTCATCACACCGCCTTGTTTGGTCCTATCATCTACAGGAAGGAGGCTTGAATGCAGTGCTCATTCCGTGCCATTGTAAGGCCTTGCAACTAAAAAATAAAAATATTAGATGACGTTAAAGTAGCTTGAAATGCAATAACTTTTAAACCAAAGCTATGCCATCCACTGCACCAAGACATATGCCTTATTTTCTCTGAATTTTGGTGCACTTGCTGGGTGAGAAGAGACACAGAAATTTGAAAGAATTTTAACCAGAAAGGTCAGAGCCTGAATAAAGCAAAATGAAAAAATAAATTCTCCATCAGTTCTGAAAGCATTCTGAGAGCAGAGCTAGAGGGCAGGGATATGCTTGAGTTTGCTTGGATAGGGAGAAGGAGGAAGAACAGCTCTCCAAGCTGAGTGTGCTACCTGGAGGTGCAGAGAACAAAGCCCATACTGGTAAGTTTCCTAAACTGCCATCCCCCCATACCTGACTGAATTGCCTCAGCAGTCATCCTAAAATAATGTGAATGCTGTAGCTTTGACAAAAAACAGTCAATTGGCTCTTGTCATTCATATAAACCTGTACCACTGTCAGTTGAAAGATATATCACATGAGCTGTTCCTTTCCTAAGACTATTAGAGATTAATATAATCAAAATCCCTCACTAGGGATTGTGAATTCACTGGATGGACTACACACACTTTATCCTTCTTTTACTAATATAACAGGGAAGCATTACACACAGGAAAGATAGTGACAGACATAAATTACCCAAAATTGGCAATGCTAAACCCAAAGGCAGGCATAATTAACATACCTTTTATTAGATTAGTGAAGTTACATTAAATAAAAAAGTTTTTGAAGCATGTAATATCACAGAGTGTTTATTTGGAATGTAACTTGCCACAAATGAGACACAATCAATTGTGTTTAAAGAACAGATTAAAAGGGAATTAACACAGCAGGGACTATATTAAACAGGTCAACAGAATGATGCACTATTCTTCTGTTTCCATATCATACCAACATTTTTTTAAGTTGGTTTTGAATCTGAAAAAGCAGAAAACAGAGATTAGATAAATGCCCTATATATTATGTTGTTTAATAATTTGGAAGTAGTATAGCTTAGCACTTAGTGAATACCCTTAATTTATACTGCACACATTTTTTACTTAACATTTAATTGGAAGTTTTGAAGATAGAACCAGACCATTCAGCATCTTTTGTGGAATCAAAAACCTAGAAAGCTCGGCCTATTTCCACTAGACTCCACAGGATTACTGAAGTTGTGTAAAATGAAAATAGAATCAACTATTTTGACTGGTTTAGATTCAAAAATAGGAAAAAACCCCTGTAAGTTCCAAGGCACTTTATATGGAGAATATAAAGTTCACTATCCTCTTGTCATTGAGGGGGAAGAATTATCAAAGGTTGTAGAGCAAATCATGAACAAAACCAAAAATGTATGCAAGGCCTGCTGCATCCCAATCACACACTCCATCTGCTGTGTGATGCTGTGTGAGCACCCAGCCAAGTTCAAGAGCTTTACTGACACGTGGGCAGGATTTCTATTACTCCCAGAGAGGCCAAGACAGAGCATCATAAAGCACGCAGGAGAGCTTCACAGGCTCCTCCGTACCTTTCAGGCATCACTTACTTTAAAAGTAAAATATATCAGTATGCATAAACTAGCAACAAAGACACTTCCTTACTGAAGGACAAATGGAAACATGAGATTTACTAGCATTATTGAATCACAGCATAAAGAGAAAATACAGAACCTCCTCAGATCCTCCCCACACCTGCTTATTTACATCCTCTAAAAGAGCCAAGCCAGAGAGACTATAAACATGGGCTGAGATAGGATTATCAAACCACAATCAACAAGGCAGGAAGGGAAGGCATTTTCCCAAGAAAACACAGAGAAAGGAAATCCAGAGAACATTAAGCTTCAATGAAAATATGCCAGGTAATATGCTCTGTGCTACTGCCAGTGATAACAGAGCAAAAGGGAGTGAGTTCTGCTCTGTGTCGCCCCTCAAAAAGGGTTCTGGGCTTGTAGGCAAGGACACGTTATGACTATAAAGAGAACAAGGAAAATTATTAGAAAACACAGTTAACCCTCTCTGATGATGGCAAACAAGTCAAACCAGTTTTTTTTGCAGGTACTTCAAGGATGGCATGTGTTAGAATTCTTTGAAAGAGCCCTAACAGTAGATCTAATCCAACTGTGTATTCAAAGATGATGTGAAACAGCCTTCCTCTGGTAAAGAAGCCTGGCAGACGCTCTAAGAAAGCCTGCCTTTGTTCAAGGGTGGCTTAGAGAAAGCTGTTACCTAAACCCAGATGCCACCCATCGCATCCCCAATCTGCTGGGTCCCTAATAATGCACACAACTCAAATTCTGTCTGTATCAACCTAAAGCACTTTAACTCCACAGTGCTAATTAAAGGATAAAGTTACGTGAATGATCAGACCATCTGCAGCACCGAGTACAAACAGACAAGGATGCCAGAAAAGCAGTGCCATGCAAAGCCAACACGAAGTGAGTTATGACAAGTTCCACAGGACATTTCACAGCTAAATTAATTCCACATTCTACCTTATTCAAAGGTGAGGAGCTGGGCACCTGCGAAGTGGGATCCAAACTTAAAGCACATTAAACTGGAGGCCTGCCAAAAAGGAAGAAATGCTAAGGCAAGGAAACTGCTCCTAGATAGTCCCTTCTCCTCAGAATTCCAGTTAGATGTTTAGGCCATACCTCACATAAATGAGAATTCCTCATTACTACAGCATCTCCATCCAACAGCAAAGTACACTTGCCCAGGAGGTGGCAGGTAAGGGCTCAGCTTCCTCCCTCACTGTGTTTTAGTTGGTTCATAACTTCCTGCAAAGCTGGCTGGGGCACACGGGAATGCCAAGAGAGAGGACAGCTTGAAGTTCAACTGTTACTCTTATCTATAGCCACACTGGTTCCTAAAAGATGGACTCCAGCCATACTGCCATTGCAGAGAGTCTTCAGAAACAAATGCCATTTCAAAAGACAGAAGAGGTCAAAATCCTGTCTGCAGAGCCCCTAGATGATCTTAGCTCAGTGAAGCTAAGAATTCACCCACTCAGTCCAGTTTTGCTTTCTACAGGACAGGTAAAACAGTATCTAAAATGCATGCAGACACCTGGAACCACACCACCCCAGTCCTCATTATGTTGCTAGAACCACAAAGCTGCAGCAAAATCAGTCAGATTCAGAGTAAACAGGACAGAGTATCTCAAGGTAGTTGAGAAGTACAAAAGGAAGGAAAAGCATGCACATGACTTGGGCTTGGTGACTGGGGCATTCCCCTGAACAGTACATCTGACAGAAACAGAAAATTAGGTTTTTCTGTGTTATCAGCATGAAGTACTCAGTGCTAGGGAAACCTTCCAGTCTGACCATTCACGCAACTCTCTGGCAGTCACCAACTGGTCAGTCTGACAGACTGGCAGTCTCCCAACACTGGAGACTTTCACTGCTGGGACTGAAGCCCCTTCAAAGTAGGCGGCTCCTGTGAGCCCACAAGACCCCTGCTCGACTCCCTGCACACCCCACTCACACAGTCAGACCAGGTTTCCTTACTGGTTCAACCCCGTGTTTCCCATGGCAGAGTCTCAGATGTCTTGTTCCACAAAACCATTTATTCACAGTGCAGAAACATGGAAACAGCTTGAGCTGGTGTCTCCAAGAAGTACCCCCAACAAAAAACTCCCTGGGCTTTTATCCCATCACAGTGTACCTGCACACAAATCTCTCTTCCTCCTGAGTTCCCTGCTCCTGCTGTGTTCCCCATTGTCCACTCATCTACCTCACTGGCACCACTCATCTTCATGTCCTTTGTTGTCCAAGAGGTTGGCAATTCATGGCCTCTTGTCTGGGGCTCCCAACCAGAGCTCAATCTGCATCTTGGGAACTGAACTACCTGCACCAGATGTATCCCTCAACAATGAGGAGGGACAACAACAGGAAACCTCAGTATAACACAAGTAGGTGGAAACCACTTGAATTTCCACTTTAATCATCCACCCTGTAAAAATCTCAGTTTCTCAAGCAACAGCAAGAACATGAGATGAACCAAATTATCTGTAACCTGCTGGATTGTTAGTGTCAAGTGCCGTTGGAAGAACTCAGAAGAAGTCCTCCCTCACCTGCCACCTACTGCAGGCCCTCTGCCCATTACATGTTCCAAAATAAAGGCTGAACTACTTTTCACCAAAGATTCACAGCTGGAATGGAGCAAGTAAGCACAAATCATCATTTCCTGTCTGTGGTTTGGTACCTACCAGAGTCTACATACATGCTATCTGAACAGCAGATTCTATTAGGTCATTTATAGTTCAGGAAGTTCATCATATTCCCTTTCTACACAGGGTATGCTAGAAAACTTCAACAGAAGCTCTGGAGCTGTGGTGGAACTGGCTGCAGATGTACACAGACCTTACCAAAAGAAATATGTCCCGAGGATGCATGTAGGTGTGTACAAATGCTTTTTATTACTCAGAAGTAGAAAAAATACACCAGTTGAATGGCTCAGTTGTTTCCTTTTAAAAGTACAATAGGTATTCTGGATTAAAAGAATATGTCTTTATATGCATGAAAGATAGACCCTGGAACCCGTGGAAGAAGGAAGATGATAGTCACTAACAGAAGAGAATTGGAAAGAATTTCACCTGCAAGTTGTTCTGGTCTGCCCCAAGGTTTCTTACCCTTCTCTTCACCTGCCCTCGCCCCAGTAGAGATGGTGAGCAGCATCATCTATGTCAGTGCTCTGACAATCTGTTGCAGGGTGGATGGGTTAAAAATAAAGCAACAGATCACTGATGTCCACATAATGCAGACACTGAAGTAGCATCCACTGCTGTGACAATCCTGCCATGGAATAGATCAACCTGTAGACTGCAGGGCACCTCTCAGATGCAGGCTGAAAATTCTGCTCTGAACTTTGTGGATTGCTGCCATGCAACCTGGTCTTCTGAAACTTGCCCTCTATGCAGCACAAAACCAGCCCAAAAAGGAATGGAAACTACCTGAAGAAATTTGACTGCTGCTAGATGGTGCAACATCTTCATCAG